CTTGGGCTTTCATTAACTAAGATAATAAATTAGCAAGTAACATATACGTAAGAGGTTTATTATGTAAATGATTAGTAAGTTCATCCATTATCAATGTGAAAAGTTAGAGGCTTAATGCTGATATTTGTTAATAAGAAACTCATTAGACACACTCCCTATAATTCTAATACTAATAGCTACATTATTACATACATCTTTAATAATATTAATATAATTAGTGGATATATCTTTCTTTTCTAAAACCCACCATAATAAATCTTTAGGAACCTCATCATAGGCTTTCTCTAAGTCAATAAAAACAATATACAAATCTTTTTTTTCTCCCTATACTTTTTCATTAATTGTCTTAATAAATACTAGTTTCTATGGTTGATCTTCCAAGCATAAAACGAAATTGATTTTTAAAGATATTTTTTTCAAGTCTTATCTTACTTTTGACAACTCTTTCCTAAAGTTTCATAATATGGCTCATGATTTTAATTCCTCTATAATTTGTACAAATTTGTATGTCACCCTTATTCTTGTAATTGGCATTAGAAAACTCTTTCTTCATTTATCGGACATCTTTCTGAATCCCATGATTTTATTAAATAAGCTAGTCAACCAACCTATTCCCTTGTCTCCTAAACTTTTTTAGACCTCAATAGGGATACCATCAGGTCCCACACTCTTAGTTATCTTTATATTCTTCAATCACTAACTCTAATTTTGCAAACAAATATATGATTATTAAATCTATCACTATTATTTATCGTTAAATTTAAGTCCTATATGGAATATTCATTAAATAATTTATAAAAATAATTTTTTCATCTTTCTTAATCTCATTATCATTAAAAAGTATTCTTTGATCTTTGGTTTTAATGTATCTAATTTATCATGGAAATTATCATAAGCTTTATATCTTATCATACTAATTGCTTTTTTAGCCTTTTTTTTAAATTTTATATCTTTTAAATTTCTCCTTATTTTTACAATTTTGCCAATCTTTAAAACATAATTTTTTAATAAAAATTGCTTTTTGAATTTCCTCGCACCACCATCAACTCTCTCTTAAGATTATACCTTTACCTCTAGTTTCACCGAGAATCTCCTTTGTTAAGCTCCTAATCTTATTAACCATCGTAGTTCAAATACTATTAATATTATCCTAATCTAAGTTCTAAATCGTCTCCCTTTCCATTCTATTCTTAAAAATCTTTACATTATAATCTTTAAAATTCCACCATCTAGTCTTAGTAAATTTTTAATTATATTTTTCTTTTTTTATTTTCTACAGTAAATATCTAACACCATCAACATATGTTGATTCGTCAAACTTTCGCCAGGTATAACTTTACATTGCTTACAAATAACTTTATCTATTCTTGTAGTGATAAAAAAGTCTATTTGACTACAATTGTGATTGCTCTTATAAATAACCAAATGTTTATCTCTTTTCTTAAAGTGAGTATTTACAATTATAAGATCATACAAAGTTACAAAATTCAAAATCGTATCATCATTTTCATTTTTCTAACATAACCAAAGCCCCCATGCACCTTTTTATATTCATCATATATTTTCCCTACATAGTTATTCAAGTCCCCTCCAATTATAAGTTTTTCAGTTATAGATATTCCTTGAATTACACCATCTAAGCTTTTCCAAAATTCTTTTTTTGGTTTGATCATCTAATCCAACTTGAGGGGTATAAGCACTAATAACATTCAAAACATCTTGTCCTTTCATAAATTTTGAAACTATAATTCTGTCTCCAAATCTTTTTACATCTACGACATTATTCTTAAGATACTTATCAACAACAATTCCTAAACCATTTTTGTATTTAACTTTCCTACTATTACCAAATTTTAAATCCAATATTAATCTCTTTAGATTTTTTCCTTACCCACTTAGTCTCTTGTAAGCAAATAATATTTATTATTCTTTTAATCATAGTGTGTACCAATTCTAATCCATTTCCTGAAAATGTTCTGAAATTCTAAATTATTAACCTAATTCTTTGTTCTTGAACTAACTTATTTACTCTCAATGGTCCAAAACAATGAGAAAACCTTTACCTACTTGGCATTATATCCAAGTGTCGCTGTGATGGGCTGCTTCCAAGCGACCTCCCAGCCCACCACTTGCAATTCGGGACACCTAGGTGGTGAAAGTGCCTTGCGTCGCTTCCGGGTGACGACCTAGCTCTATAATAAAATTGGTTAAGATCCATGTTCATGAGATCTGACATAGTTTTACGCTGGTTGTCAGTGACCTAATGCAACCCTCCAACTTTTTCATCTAGGCTTGAGAATGACATTGGTGGTGTTAGGACTAGTCCCAAACAAGAATAAAATTGAGGTTATGGGAGAACTTAAAGAGTGCTTGTAAGCCAATATGAGTTCAGTTAGAGGTTTTATGGATGGCAGATGATTACCATTACTTGGTCATCATTGAAAATGAAAACTTGCCTGTTGTATGCCACAAAGCTAAATGGTGGGAAAAGATCTGCACCCAATGTCAAATGATTGTTTCTGACTTTTGTGTACAAGTTGTTCTAAATTTTTTGTGATTCAGAAATGACTAACTCTAGAATATGGATGCAATATTTGATAGGCACTAGATTTTTCTTTCAATTTGGTTTTTAACCATAAAAGTTCGTCTTGAGAAGGATTCTGCATTTAACAACTTTCATATTGATTCAGATTTTTGAGACCATTGTTGAGCCGACTCTTGTACAACCAACATTTGTACTTGACTATCCGATTGAGATATCACCATTGGCTAAACCCCACCGAAGGTAAGTAGATTTTAGAAGTATCTTGGACTGTGATATGCTTTATTGTGACATTTTTCCATAGGGAATTAATTTAAAACAAGGATATGATTTTTTTTTCTTTTTTCCTGTTAAGAATGAAGCATGATGCTTTGTTGTTTAATTTTGAATCTTTTACATGCTACTATTGTTTTTAATAGTAGCATAAATGACAGTTGCCGTGCTTTAAGTGTTGATGCAACATTACTGTTTTGAAAGTTGAATGTGTAAATGGATCAATTGTTACCAAGAAGGTTCTTCTGTTCAGACTTAAGGCAAAGCAAGGGTAGATCATTAACTATTATGTTGCTTCAGCTTAAGCCTACAAATTGTGGAATGCATCTTATAAATATTTAACTCTCTCTGCAAAGAGTTGATTATTTGTCTTTTTTATTAGACAAACCATACCAATTGTCATTTTCAACGGAAGTAATCTGAGATGTGATTGGATTAATCAATGAAAATCATTTAAAGAAACAAATCTGATAATATAGTCAGATAATAATTGTTAAGTGGGACTTCATAAATTCAATCCTTTAACACATAAACATAAAGAGAAAAGATGAATACTTGTCATTTCTAATTGGCTAGAGGACAAAAGGAAAAGGAAAATGAGTAGGTATGCAAACTTTCTCCCACTAAGGGGTCTATCCAGATTCCCCTACTCTCGACTTGCAACCACACACACCCACACTCACAAATCCAAAGTCTTATTTGGCCAATGGTTTTATCTTGCCTGTTGTTAAGGCCCAGCAAGCATTAAATTAGCTTATAAAGGTTCATTATCTAAGTTCAATGAATCTATAAAAATAGTGTAAGATTACTCTCTTTAAGTATACTAGGTCAAGACCTAACAAAAAAAAGGTATACTAGGTCAAAAGACGAGCTTTGGCACCACAGTATGATTTTTGATTTTTTGTGTGACTTGATTGACTTGTGTTTTGTTCAAATAGACAACTTCTTGTATGCGTCAAAGCTACACGAATTGATCCTTCCCCAGATACTGTATTGGTGTGCACGCTATTCTCTGCATCACCTTAGGTTACAAATTCAGCAGTTTATTTCTAGATTATGGAGATGATAAAATATACCATACAATTTTGAATATGTGAGTACATAATACTACTACATCACATAATAGCAATTTCTGTATGATCTATTTAGTTTGCTCTAAATTTGTGGTGCTAATGTTTGTCTCCATTGTATAGGCAAAAAGGGTTGATTGAGTGGTTTGAACTTTATATTTGTGTTGCTAAGCTTTTTCTCCATTGTATAGGCAAAAAGGATTGACTGAGCGGTTTGAACTTTATATTTGTGGTCGTGAAATTGCTAATGCGTTCTCAGAACTTACAGATCCAGTGGATCAGGTAATTATTTTTTCAAATTTTTAGGGTATGTACATGAAAAATTAAGTGCAAACATTTTTAGCAATTTATAAATTGTCATAAATGATAAATCAATCTAGTCTTTTGCATAACTTTTGTATGTAGATAATATATGAAAGTTTCTGATGTCCATTGTTTTATATTAACCATTTCAACAAGAATCCCAGGCTTGGTAAATTATATTCTGATTTCCTTTTACAGGTATTTTTGGAAGACGCTTCTTAAGATGCAAATATAAATAACAAATTGAGCAAAAATAAAGCATAGAACATGTCATACATCATGACTAAGAATATGGATAATGAAAAGCAACTCGTCAAACTGGCAAATTCATAATTATTATCGTTCATTGATCAAGTACCCAAATTAATTTTCGTTTCTTGTCACTTTTTTTTAAAAAAATATACATTTATATGCTGCATTCCTCAAGACGATGAGTATTGTCATCTCTTTCATTTTTGGCCTAATTTAGTTATTTTACAAAAATGATTAACATTTAAGTGGTCACTCACGAGAAAAAGTAAGCCTTAGGGGCCTCAACGGTTAGCCTATTTTGGGAACTCAAGTGGTTGCTTGTCCAGGGCAAGAAGTGTATGGTGACTAGGATATGGGAGTAAACTCAATGGCCTAGGAAGTCTTTATTGAAAACACCAAGTATGGGGACCAGGTAAATTTTCTCCCTCGTGCATCAGATGGGTATGGAGCGGGCAAGTATGGCAGTGTGGCAAGTATGGGGTTGGCAAAAATCAACCCTAGCCTGCACCATGCCATTTTAAATTTTAAGCCAACAGACTAGGGTTATCATGTCCACCACAATGACCCTTTTCTTATTAAGGGTACATGTGCTAAGATATATATTGAAACAATATTTGATGGATCATAGTGTTTAGCTGTTGGTAATTAATGTACTAATAGATGAGGATATGAGATGGATGATTGTTACTGAGAGAAACATGGAGAAGGAAATGTTTGGACTTGGTATATATTACATTAGTCATCATCAAAAGAAAAAAGATTTTTTAAGCTGGTTTGACTAGTGTGAAAATGCATCATCAAGTTAATAAGCATGTTATAGAAGAGGCAATGGGGCAAAGAAGAAACTGTTTATCTAAGAATGATTTTAGATTGATTGATACCATTTACAAGATTTTTTAAGCTGGTTTAGCACATCTAAAAGCACATCATCAAGTGCAAGTAATTGTTATGCTGATCGTACTATTCTTGTGAAGTATCATCATGTGTCATGTCAACTCGTGCTCGAGGTACCGACATATTGCTATGCCAATTTTTAATCTGTGCCAACCAACATAGAAAATGCTGATTGGCACAAAACAGAAGCATGACATGTCTAAACAGTACCAGCATGCTAGAATGTCATGAAAAATGATGTCTTTCTCTAGAGTGTACTAATGGTAACTTCACCCTTGAAAACTAGTTTTTTTTACATGTCATCATGACTATCTTCACATCAAGATCCAAATCTCATGTTCATTTTCATGTCATGCTATCTTTTAGCCCTTAATTTGAGTATGGATGAAGATGTTGCTTATCAACTTGTCTCGACACTTCCAATTGAAAGATCAAATGTGAACAAATTTGTCATCTACTTGCCTAAATGTGGTGAATTTATTTCACATAAATATGATATCATGGGTCACGACTCACGCCATACATCATTTTAAACTGTCTCATGCATTGGAACAAATTTCAGTATTTTGGTGACCTGGGCTTGCTTAAAAACTCAAAATAGTTAGAATAGTGTAACATTGTCCCTGCTAAAAGTCTTTGTTGAATTCTTTTTTGCAAATGGGACAGAGATCTCGCTTTGAAGAGCAAATAAAGCAGCACAATGACAAGCGAGCAACACTAGTTTCAAACTCAAAATATGTTGAAGGGGAAAAAGAGTTTGATGATTACTCTTATGAAGTTTCACTTGATGAAGACTTTTTAACTTCTTTAGAATATGGCATGCCCCCAGCTTCAGGAATGGTATGATTATTTTTCTTCCTAAGCATATTCCCTTTATCTTCTGGTCATTTTCTAAGTTTTTGAGTTTTTTTTCCCATCATGTCCAGTATAAGACATTCAAATGTTTGTCAATCTAGTTCAATTTGCAGAGCATTACACATCTATATAATATAACTAAAATCTAAATGACATGGAGCTTTTGATGTCAATGCATAGCCATTTATGGGACAAGTTTCCTGATTTTGTTAAGTATTTATTCCTGTTTTGCTTATGTCATAATATGTTTACGAAAATATCCTCCTACAATTGGGCAGAATATATTTGTTAGAAAATTTAGAAATATTTGAACTGATTATGCCAGTGAATTGTTGCTTTCTGAACTTCTTTTTCTATTACTATTTGGTTGAAAAAAGAAGTAACCTTTAAACCGTTGAACTGAATTTTCTTGTATGTCTGCTGATTCTGAACTCCCCTTTATATTGTTTAGTTTACTTTTTGGTTGAGAAAAAGGTATGTGTAATCCTTTCTTTTGAATAGTCAAAATGAAGCCAAAGTAGGTCCGCCTAGTTCTCTTGCAATCTTGGGCTTCAACATTTGTCAAAGCTATGGATTGTCTTGCCAAATATTGAATTATCATGTAAGATGAAAAATAGAACTTTTCTTTGGGTTCCTAAATTAGCCATGATAGCATAACTTCTTGAATTACTGGGAAATATGTTAAATTCATGAATAGTTGAACAATTACTACATTAATTCTGGATTTAATGAATTTGAGAGAATTGTTCAAACTTCAAAGAATCATTCAGTTAAAAATAATGAACAAAATTAAGTTTTTAATGATTCGGAGAATGTTGTTCAAAGAGTGTTTTTCAGGTTTCTCCAGAACTTATTCTAGGTAGATTACATCTCAATGCTTGATACAAATTGATCCGGATGAGATTTATCATGATTTGCTGTCATTTCAGGGTCTCGGAATTGATAGGCTAGTGATGCTTCTAACAAACTCTGCCAGTATACGGGATGTTATCGCATTTCCTGTTCTAAAGATTCAGCATTAGGCTTACTTTAAAGGAAGCCAGAGTTGCCAAATAGAAACTCCAGATGAGTGATACATTTGCATGTTGAAGAAGGCTCTTCTCAGCAATTTGGTTGCAGTGTTAATTTATGAAGCTCTTGTCACGTCTGCTCAAACCCTTTTTCATTTGGGGGGATTTTGTGATCGTAACTGTAAAATAGAATACATTGTGTGAGCTGATTCCTCAACCTGGTTACATAATTTCTCATCTTTTTTATCTGTTTGTTTTGGGGCAATGATACGATACATACCAGCCTTCATATATATAGTCAATAAATCAGGTACGTAACAAAGTTTCTCAAGTTGATGCCCCACATTTGTCTACTGATGTACCAGCAAATCACTCAGAAGCCTAATAAAAGCTCTGAATCACAATTGTCTTTCAACCACTGAGAAGATACATAGGTAAACATCAGAGATTTATTTACTTAAGCCATTCACCAGTTCCCTCCCATGCTACTCATGGCCTAATGCTAAGAAAGATATGCATGGATTTCAAATATCACAATGATTAGTAGTTTCAGTTCTTGAATCATTAGTTTCGATGGTTATCCATTTTTTAACCTTAGGAATCGGAATCGAATTGTCTTATGGTCGATTCGGTTTCAGTTCTTTAAAATCAAAAATCGGAATCAAATCAGCAAGATTAATTTTGATTCCTATTTGATTTTGATTCGTCTCTCAGAACATAATGGTTCACATGGATTTCATATCACGTTTAAAGAAGATATTGAGAACTGGGAATCTGCATTATTTATACCCAAGCTGACCTGGCTGGCAGTGGTCTCAATCCCTAACTTCGCGGCGATCGCAGGTTGGTCGTACAGTGAAGGCGGACGTGTCCCAGAATTCGTGTGCAGGGAGGGTATAACACGTCCCAAGAACTAAAACGGAATCCGTGAATCAAACGGTCCATCTCACTCTCAATTTTGTACGGTCCCGATGTATACTTGATCCCGACCCCCAGTCCCTCGACTCGTCCTACCTTGTCCCATCGCGAACCCCACACTACGCCTACCACACGATAGGCGTCGATTCCCCTCCGGTCGCCACACGTTGGTCAGGTCGCGGTGCGTGACCCAACTTCGGTCACGACCAGTATCTGTTGGTTGCCTTCGGTTGCCCGCCATCGCCTCCGTGTCCGAAGTCGCGAGCCGAGTCGGTCGCCAGCAGCTCCTGTGACCGTGCCATTCAAGTTTTACTCACCGTTTGAGACGTACTCGGCGTCATGATCTCCGATATGACTCGAGAGGACACACGTCGCGTCTTCCCCAAGCAAAGAGACGTACTCTCGTCCTCCTTTCACCGAGGAAAAATAAGACCGATAAATGCGATCTCTTCCCCTCGCCAGAGGGCGTCGACGGGAACGAGTGGTAATCTCGTAATTTCATGACGTCAGGGGGGCATCTCCGTACAATGGCCACCCCCACTTCCCGGTACACGTTTCGTCATTCGATTGGACTGCAAGATGGGAACCACGTTCGGCATCCGGACAGCGCCTTTAAAGCCAAATGTTTTCACGCGATCCGAGCCGCCCCCTGGCGTACCCCACATTTGCAGCTTCGGGGCCCATTCGAGAACGCAGGGGTGTGCGCGTGAGTGGCCGTTCAGGGACTGGAAAAAGGTGCAGGAGATGATTCAAACGGGCGTACAAGCAATCGGCGATAAAACGGTTTGCACGCCGTTTTGTTGTCCTTTCATTTACTGTTATATATATATATTATTGGCGACAAATTTTGTTTATTCTCCGAACCCTTCTTTTAAAGGAAGGCGGAGATGAGCGAGCGGAGGCAAACCGAGAGATCTCATCAACAGCTCTGTTGCTTTCTTGGTTTCCGGAAGCTTCTCCTCTCTCTCGGTCTCTCCGCTCCATCTTTCTTCGGCTTCTCTCTTGGTTTCGATCGGTGATTTCTCATCTTTGTTGTCTTCTTTTTGGGGATTGGGTGGTTGAGATCTGGAAGTTCTGCGTGTTCGGTTGGATCCCGTAAGGGTTTTCGTTCTTGAACCGGTTTGCTTGATCTTAGGGTGTACGGGTTGTTGATCTTTGGAATTTGATCGAACGCTCTCTCTTGTCTCTTTGTTAATTTTGGGTCTCGGATTCTTGTTTCTTTATCTTCCTTTTCCGGATTCCATTTCATGAGGAATCTTTTTTGGTGGTTTGAGGGTTTCCAAAGAATCTTGGGTCGATGGAACTCCAAGTTTACAGATCGCATGCGTTAAGACTGTGGATTGTAAGTTTTCTTTTCTTCTTCATCTTCTCCTATGACGATCGTCATAGGGTCAAGAATATGGAAGCTGTATGTATGTGGATTTTTCTGATGGATGTTGGTTTGGGATCGACTTGGCAGATGATGAGATTTGTGGGTTCCAGCGTTCTTGCGTGGGCGTCGTTGGTTGACAACGAGAGAGAGCACGCCGGTTCGCAAGCTATGGCGGCGGCCATGGTTGTGCACTAGCGTGCTCCTTCTCGTTGTCACACACGGTCGCCTCACAAGGCAGCTTCTCCTGCTCGCCCTCTTTTTCTTCCTTGGTACGTTTTGATCGATTCACGCTTAATTCTTTAGCTCCCTCTTATTCATGTTGTTGTTCGTTTTCTTCAGTTATGTTTGTGTTAAGAATTAGGCAAACTCATCAAAATAACGACAAAGAATAGGGCCATCTTACGTGCTGGTTTTATCTCCTGGAGATCAGTCTTGTTAGTGATAGTTTACTCGTTCGCTCTAATACGTATTGTTCTTCCGTTGAGTTTGTATTGTGGTGTCTTAGGCTAAGGAATGTCTGAGTTAGGTAAACAGTGCAAATTATTGTCATCATATCTAGTTGATATTTCATGAATGACATGTAACTTTAGAAGATTCGGTGGTAAGTATGGAACAAAAAAGATTTGTTTCATTACAGATATTTACATTCTGGTATTAGTCCTCTGCGCTTAGTCTTGTTGGTGGCGGTATGGTTTCCTTAATGATGCATTTGTTCTTCGATTGTGATAGACAGAACCAAGAACTGATATCTTGTATTACTAGTTATGAATATTCTTATTCACAGTATAAGATATTTTGAAGAAAGAAAGCTGGCAAAGGTTTAAGGTTGTCTATTATGAATTTCTGCCTTTGGTTATAAATTGGAGAGCCACAATTGATATGTTTATGCTACCTCGGGAATACTGGGATGCTGTTTTCTACTAGGTTGGATGGTGGTTATTGTCTTAGTCATGTTATCAAACTACATTATCATAAAATTAAAAAGATTCAAGTCCATTTGCAGAAAGCACCAACAGTGATGCTTATATTGAGCGAGGAAAACCCAGATCCATCTATTTTTTTTGTTTGTCTATATAAAGAGATTATGCATACTTTTGTATGGACATATCGAGGGAAGGAAGGAAGGAATAAGAGAGCGGCAAGACATATTTTGTTGAACTTCAACACAAAGTTTCAAACCCAATCATCCCAATCAGCAGCGCAAAAGGTCTACCTGGCGCAGATATATATTTTAGCAGCTTTGAACGTTGTTTTTGTTCATATTATCATCCTTGCTACAAGTTTTGACTTAACCATTCCTGAAGTCAAGGATTTTGCTTATTGTTATAGTCTTTACTAATCTATTTTTTACTTTCATAACCTTTTCATTGAATTTGACAATTGTAATTAAATAATTAGCTTTGTTCAATTTGCAAAATACACACATGACAAACAAATACAGGAAATGCCTAACAAATGGATTGTTTACAGATTATATAACATTACAAGTCTCAAGGATTAATGTGCAAGTACATGTTTTTCAAATGCATAACCATTTTGATTGTGTTGTTTCTTCTTTGATGTATTTACCTATGTATGCTTTGACCTTGGATCTTGCTTATTTGGATATCTTGGATAGTAACTTAAGATTACAGTACCAAAAGCCAAAAACCCAACTGTTCAACGTAGACATTATTGTCACAGAAAAGAAATTTTGGATCATAGGAATTATCTAACTGTTCAACGTAGACATTATTGTCTAATAACTAATCTAATGGTGCATTGTAGGTTTTTCCCTCCTTTTATGAAACAAATAACTTTTGCGGGTTTTTACATCTCCAATAGTTGAATAACATCTTAAACTGAGTTATCAAATGGCAAGGCTGCCAACTGTCCTTGGAGATAATGATATTCTTTGATGTGAGATTGAAACTCTGAGATAAGATGAGTTCGAGGGTGATGAGGCGGCTAAGAAGCTATTAACATGGACCTTAACATGTTGGTGAAATGGTCACTGTTGTCACTACATCCCAAATAATGGTTGGTGAGAAGGGAAAGGTCTATGATGATCAATTGGAGCAGGGATGCGACCTTGCTAATATTGTTGCCGTGGTTAGAAGTTGACCTGCCTCTGCCATAATGCACATTGTGTGCATGTGGTGGTCATTGTTGATGACGATATAATTGAGAACGAGCTAGAACACTAGACTAGGTCACCTAGGTTCAGTTCACGACCTTTATGTATATGTCTGATTGAGCTTTTATTCATAAGAATTGTCAGTCTAGGACTGATTCCTTGTGTGCTGGCTCACATTTACCTCCTTACTGTCACTGATTTTGCTTTTCCAGACAAAATTGCCTACGTAAATGATTTGCAATAGCTAGGTATCGTGCGTTTTATAATTTTGACTTAATTTTTTTATTTCAACTATATTGCAAATTTTGGTAATCCTGTTATACCAATCTAGTGTTTCCCACTGCCATAACTGCTGCTGATATTGATGTTAGGCATATGAATCTTAGTTTTAATCATCTTTATTAAAGGCATGATGATGAAATAAATGCATAGGTAGGCAATGAGTTATCTAGGCCAAATGTCCTAAACAAACTCAGTGATCACATAGTTCATTTTAAAAGTTGAATACAAAAGACTTAACAATACCTTTTTTTTTTGTAATCCAGATTGTTGAAGTCGTGTTAAGATTCCTTCCTAAACTTGAAGAATGGCTGATTCGATGTATCCGCATTATGTAAATACATTGTGTAAAGAATAACAAAAGAGTCCCCATAAAAAATGCTTCAAAAACAGAAGATTAAAAGAGGTTTAGATTCAGACTCGTGGCTTATCCTGGATTCAGCTAGACCTAACTTTGACCCAATCCTTTGATCTTTACTTGCACAGTGATGTGAAAAGAGATCCATAGTAGTTGCAAACGAAGGTTTAATTTTGTTGTTCAACATGAAACAAGTAAGGCCATTATGTGTAGGTGCAAATGTGTATTTTATTATATAGGTTATAAAAACGTGGAGTTTATGTTAACAGACTATCTGTGAAGTTCACTTCTTGCTATAAGTGCACGTTGTTGAATTTTGAGGTAGAGGTATCATTGCTGATAATTGAGAAGATTAAGATCGCCATAGACGATTAATGGAGTAGGTCTAGTTGGATCATGTATAGGATTCGGATTGTAATATTCTTTTTGATTCCTGGAAAAACCTGAATATTTACAAAGTCAGGAGAAAGTAGGGAACACGAACTGGTTTTAGAATTTAGATGATTGGAATGAAAACCATAAAAAAAGGGAAAAAAATTTAAATGGAAGTTTGAAAGATGGCCTTGATGCTTGTAAATATATTATTTCTCACTTTAGTTTCTCGACTCATTTTGTTATTGACCAAAAGGCATAATATATTGTTAGTATCGAGTTAGAATTATAGCAAAGCCTTTTTGACCAATAATCATCCTCAAATACCTTGGTTCCATTTTAGGTTGTGAATATGGCTTTAGAGATATTTAAGAGTTTTTTTTTTGGCAGTTAGAATTTCAAAATGTGATGATTTATGATTTATATTGAAGTGCATTGCTTTAATGTCTGGGAATGATGCTGCTAGCAAATACTTGAATCTAGGTATTGCAGGACATCTGGAGCTTCAAATAATGAAAGGACAAAGGAATCATTTAATTCTTAACCAAAGTCCAGGATGTCGGAAGTTCAAACGTGCAAAATTTTACTATTTGGCAGGGTTCGTCAGACAAGTTCCAAAAGATCGGGGAAGTATTTTTAATGTTTTCTTATAGCACTTGATAACTTTAAATCATAGCTTGTTCAGGCCTAACTTATTATTGTTTCTCATGGAAGGAAGCCTGGTTTCATTTTTTCTGAAATGCAGCTGGAGATTTGAACAATGGTTTTACTTTGTTTGATTTTTCTTGTAATAAATGAATTTTGTTATTCTCATTTATCATTATTCATTTTTTTTCCATTTCCTTCCATGTTATATAATTGAGAAGTTGGGGGTGGACTTCCATGTTATACATCACTCTCATATATAAGTGAAATCATATCACAAATATAAAGAAAACTTGCAATAATGTAGCGTATATCTCTTAATAACTAAATATATCCAAAACTTGGGAGAAATCATACTTGTGTTGACAAGTATGTTTTTAAAACATACTTAATTCCTTGTGTTGACAAGGAAAATTAGGTTTTTAAAACATCGCTTGCCAGGACTCTCAAACAAAGCTTGCCAAGCAACTAATTCCTGATCTCAACAAACGCCACGGAATCCTAATTTAGCAGTTTGCTAAATGAATAATCATCCATCGAACTCACCTTCCTGTGCCACAGAACTGGAGTTCCTAATGTTGTAACATTAGTAACCTTACATGAACTGGAGTTCCTAATGTTGTAACATTAGTAACCTTACATGAACTGGAGTTCCTAATGTTGCTAAATGAATGAATCATCCATCCAACTCTGCCTTCTGCACCTTCCTTATAAATCAAAGGTTGTTGTAACATACGATCAAATCCTTGTCTGTCAAATGGAGAAATGACCAAACCCGTTCATGTTGAAATAAAAACTTCTTAAGTATCAATGACCAAGGGCAGTCGATAGGACTTGATTTGAACTTTACCTTAAAGATATAAATTATCATTCATCTCTCCGAAACACAATTTCTGGTGCAGGCCCAATCTATCAATGATCATCCTGCAAGTTCCTCCTAAGAAAACAACATATATTTTCCAAAACAACATATCTAGTCACCAAGTTTAATGTACATACAGAAAAGCATCGTCATATAACTTCAATGACCAGCATGAGTCATGGGCTTCTTTTTTATGTTTTAACATCAAATGCCATATATATCCCGTTATATACTCATAGTGACTCCTCCAAAGTCTTAAAATTGCAGTTGCTGACTTCACTCAACTGACTCTAATCAACCTCAGATTTCCCGTTCAAAAATTTAATGTGTATGCCCACCAAAGTTCTTGATGCCAACACTTAGCTGTCTAAATGCCAAACAAAGCTATTACCCCCCAGTTTATGTAGAACTAACAGTTTGTTGTATGATCAGCATATGGGTTATTTGAATAATAACTCTGAGAAAGCAAACCTACAGCAACATGTAAAAGTACAGAAGAAGTATCTTCATTTGAATACTTGAAAGAAAAGACAAAACATCAGCCGTATCTTGCTTATCTTAATCATGTTCTCAATTTTATAACCGACAAGAACTAGAAAGGATGTACAGAAATCAAATACCAAATTCATATTACTTCAACATTAGGTATAGCATCTGCGGGACAACACTGGCTGTAATATCGAGCATGGATACCCAAGCTCAGCAACAATGTTGCTTTGTTAGCCTTACTTCCTCTACAAGGGCATTATCTTGCTTTCCTTGTCATTCATCTTTTTCTTTTATATGCTCATACAAGACAACTGTTTAATAATACAGATAGAAAAAGTATCAACTTCTTTTGCTTTTCCATTGCTGTTCTTGAATCATTGAAAATAAATCATCTTGATGGTATTATGAGATGGAGTGTTTGTTTGGCCACTACACTCCCACTGCCGAAGGCATCTATTCTAGAGGAAGAATGGGCTATATCTAGATCTTATCTAATTAATATACAGCAAAAACGCATCGAGCCAAAATGACAAATAATCCTCAACCGTAGGCATTTTTTATGAGACAGTAGAGGACATCATTCTCGATTCTTTGAGCACCCATGACAAATGAAAGAATTAATAAATCAACAAGTAGAAACGAAGAATACATAGCATACCATCATTATTTAGATTAAACCTGAAAGTGGAAGACAAATACAAGTACAAAATTACTAGTATTGTAAAGCTATATATCCTGTGGCCAAAATAGTCCCTGTTGTTCCGATCAATAGAGTATGTAATTTCTCAGTTGTTTCAATACCCATGATAGAAATAATAAACCAACAAGAAGAAGGGAAGAACACATCAACAAGTAGCATACCATCATTGATGAGATTATGCCTGAGTGGAAGACAAATACAAATACAAAATTACTAGCATGTCATTGTGGCCAAAATGATCTCTGTTGTTCCAATCAATAGAGTATGTAATTTCTGAGTTGTTTGAGTACCCATGATAGAAATAATAAACCAACAAGAAGAAAGGAAGAACACATTAATAAGTAGCATACCATCATTGATGAGATTATGCCTGAAAGTGGAAGACATACAAATACAAAATTACTAGCATGTAAATATATTGTGGCCAAAATGATCCCTGTTGTTCCAATCAATCCTTACAAAGTAACTCAAGACTCATCATGCATCAACAAAGAAATAGGTCGTCGAATAGATTTCAATGTTTGCCCCAACTTAAAATTCCTTCGCTCAACACAGTATGATTAAGTGATTAAACACAACTAAATAGACCAAAAGAAAGAGCAGAGAATCGATTTAAGAATATGTAAAGGATGAAGCAACCATAAATATATATACGTATCGGGTCAAGAACTCCACGGGCAAGGAGGAGGAGAAACTTAGTATGGTGATCTTGGGTTGACAACCAGAAGGAGCACGCTAGTACACAACCATGGAAGCTGGCATGGGTCATGGACCAGCGTGCTCTCTCTCATTTTCAACCAAACCACGCTCATGCAAACAAACCAACCCCATCATCTGCCAAGCCCATATCAACATTACGATCACCAGACAAATCCACAAATATGTACCTTACATTTGCTTGGTCTGACGATCATAAATCATAACACAAGGAAGAAGAAAGAAAGAGAAGTCGCAAACCACCCCACCTCGACAAAGATCCATCCGCTTCAAATAGTTCGAATCTTGCAAACCCTCGTACAACCAAACATCACGCTTCTTCGAGAACCAAAAACAACAAAGCATAGAAATTCGAAATAAGAAAAAGAGAAAAAGGATCAGAGATAGATCATCACCAGCGAAAACAAGACCCAAACGAATCATCAACACAAGGAAGACTCTATCGAGCAACCCAAAATCCACAAAATCCCAAGAACAATAGAAACAAGAAACAATGACAGCACGATTTTTTTTGGGTTCGTGGCAGCGATAGGATTCGGAATAAGGAAGAAAAAGGAGAGGTATCAGGAAGAAGAATTGTCGACAGATCAAGAACGCAACAACAAAAACGAGGAACTAAGAATCGGAAAGGGAACAGAAAACAAAAGGAATCAGGGAATCCACTATCAACGAGACACAAAAAGATGCATATCAGGAGGAGACTCGAGCTCGCAACCCAAAATCCACACATGCCCAAGAAAAGGAGATCGAGAAAACACTAACAAGAATCACGAACTAAACAGTTGGATCTCTTTCTCTTCTTTAGCATGAGCAATCTTCCCCGATCGGAACGAGGCGAACGAAATCCAAAGACGAGAGAGAGAGAGAGATAGAGAAGGAACGGAAGAAACCATCTGGATCAAGATCGATGGAGACGACGAAGGAAGCATGAACGGAGCCTAACGATCGGGAGTGCGGAAGATGAAGGATAGACAAGTGGGTCGAAACGATCGAGAGTGCCGAGAAGCTTCTGGAGACGACGAACACCAACAATTCAAAAGCGGGAGAGGAATGTGGCGAACTCCTTATGTGTCCCACTCTGCTCGTCTCCACCCGTTCGACAAAAGAAGCGGCGACGGTAAGAACAAACCCCTCCATTTTCTTTTCTGTGTTTTTTTTATGATTCTTTATTTAAAACCGCGCAAGGACTTATCCTAACGCCTGCTGCCTTGTTATTGGACAAAACTGTGGGACCACGCCTCTAACGTGGGTCCACCTTAAATGAACGTATTATATTTATAACAGAAAGCAATTGGTAATTAATGACGACATTTGTGGGTAAGTGTTCTCTCTTTAAGGGATTAATTAAAGAAGGATAAAACACATTCTATGGGTGATTACCGTACGTGTCTCTCAGTCATGTTCTTCTCTACTACCCAAAACAGCTAAGTACATTGGTCAATCATCTAATCAGCCATGTACTTAACTCACACGGGCTGGTGCGATTTACTCGATGATTCTGATGGGTCCCGGAACCTATAATTAGGCGAGAGAAGTGGGTCAACGTGGATAACGTAATCGGGAGTCCTGCTCAAACCCGGAAGTGATCACGTGTCCGGTACCGAGGACGGTCCCTGATAGACTTGGCCAATGAAGTGCCGAAACGCGTCGGTGACTGTTATAACGAATTGACGAGACTGCCCCCGGACTGGGAGACGACGAGGCCTTTTTCCCCTCGGTGCGGTCGCCAACGGAGGAGATTCGTAACTCACTTTTAAGACATGACTGACTCTACGAGAGGTGGGATGGCTTCTCGGCGAACCGAAGGGACGTGTTTATAAAGCACGCTTCACCGGAGGTTAGCTGCCTAGTTAGACTCGAGTCATCAAATCAGTGATGGACGGGACGGGACGTCAGATTATCTACGTGTCAAACCCAACCCCTTGTCAATTTCCGGTTCCTGCAGATGCAGAACATTGGTATCGTGTATCAAGAAATATGAGATATTATCATATATCATATTATGGAGAATTATGATCATTATAAAGGAGATTCATCTAAAAAGAGGGTTGTTTTCTATTTTATTTTGCACTACATAAAACATAAAACGAGTATTGCCAGTATGCTCAAACACGGTTTCCTAAAATGCGGTAGAGTTAAGCATATAAAGGACAAAGTATGTGCAGTAGCATCGACAGTAAACCGTGGCTAATACAGTTTCTGCCTTACCAGATGGCTAAATACTGGAAACAAGAACTGATGTCATAAGAGGTATCCAATCTGGTCTTCAAGATTCCAACTCACCTAGAATCAGAAATCCTAATTCTTCTCGCACATAAAAAAAAGTGGCCTTAGAGATAGATAGATAGAGAGAGAAAGAGAGATCTACTAGCCCAAACAGATCCAATTTGATAAAATTTTGAGACGCATGTCCTACTTAGGAGTCTTAAGATATTGAACTTTCCCATATAACCGAGTCGCAAACAAGAAGATAACTTCAATCATGAATGGCCTGGAAATCAATAGATTCTACAGGTTTATATACCTTTTAAAACAAAACTTATGTGCTATAAGGTTCTATTGACTTTATTTACCAACAACTAAAAGTTTTATCTACCTTTGAAAACAAAACTCATGCGCTATAAGATTCTATGACTTCATTTACCAACATATAAAACAAACTAATTGTCATTAGATTCTATAGGTTTATCTACCTTTAAAAACAAAACACAGGTGCTATAAATTTCTATGATTTATTTACCAAACTACTGAAACAAACTAATGATCATTCATTAGATTCTATAGGTTTGTCTACCTTTAAAAACAAAACTCCAGTGCTATAAGTTTCTATGACTTCACTTACCAACAACTGAAAAGAACTAATTATCATTCGTTAGATTCTATAGGTTTATCTACCTTTAAAACCGAAACTTGTGCTATAAGTTTCTATTTCATTTACCAACAACTAAAAGGAACTAATTATCATTAGATTCTATAGGTTTATATATTAAAAACAAAACTCATGTGCTATAAGTTTCTATTAGTTTATTTACCAACAACAAAAAGAACTAATTATCATTAGATTCCATAGGTTTATCTTCCTTTGAGAGCAAAACTCATGTGCTATAAGTTTCTATTAGTTTATTCACCAGCAACTAAAAGAAGATTAGATTCTACAGGTTTATCTTCCTTTGAGAGCAAAACTCATGTGCTATAAGTTTTTATTAGTTTATTCACCAGCAACTAAAAGAAGATTAGATTCTACAGGTTTATCTACCTTTAAAGACAAAACTCATGTGCTATAAGTTTTTATTAGTTTATTCACCAGCAACTAAAAGAAGATTAGATTCTACAGGTTTATCTACCTTTAAAGACAAAACTCATGTGCTATAAGTTTCTATGACTTTACTTACCAACAACTAAAAAGAATTAATTATCATTAGATCGATAGGTTTATCTACCTTTAGAAACAACACTCAAGTGCTATAAGGTTCTATGACTTCCTTTACCAACAACTAAAAGAACTAATTATCATTGGATTCCATAGGTTATATCTAACTTTAAAAACAAAAAGTCATCTGCTAAAAGTTCCTATGACTTTATTTACCAACAACTAATTTCCATAGGTTATATCTAACTTTAAAAGCAAAAAGTCATCTGCTATAAGTTCCTATGACTTTATTTACCAACAACTAAAAGAACTAATTTCCATAGGTTATATCAAACTTTAAAAACAAAAAGTCATCTGCTATAAGTTCCTATGACTTTATTTACCAACAACTAAAAGAACTAATTACCATTATATTCTATAGATTTATCTACCTTTAAAAATAAAACTCATGTGCTATAAGTTTCTGTGACTTTATTTGCCAACAACTAAAAGAACTAAGTATCATTAGATTCTACAGTTTTATCACCTTCAAAAATAAAACTCAAGTGCTATAATTTTCTGACTTTATTTACCAACAACTAAAATGAACTAATTAACTGACTACTCTATTAACTTGCTAGTCATTGGTTTTCCCCATTCCTACAAATGTAGGATTAATAAAAGAACACTCAAATTATCCAAAACTTTCTGTCTCAAGAGAATTTTTCAGCATTACATTACAAAACTAGAATATGTAAAGAACACCCACATTATCCAAAAATTTATTTCTCAGAAGAATTCCTCAATATATTGAAGAAAAGGCTTGCGATGTACTGGCTCCTCATTACAGAGTTTAACCTTACCCAACCTTATAATTGCACAAAGGCTTAAAATATTCACACAAATTCTACTAATGATGACAAGATTGAAAATTGATATGCGTTTATATAAAAATCCAGAAATTTAAGAAAGAAAGTGAAAAAGGTGCATCAACCACAAACATTCAAAAGAATTTCCAGATCAAATTGACAAGGGAACGATTTCTAGACATAATTACATTAGAAGCACAAAGAAAATGCTTACATCGCTACCTTCGATTCCGAACAGGAACAGACGAATCCAGGGAAGCGAATTATATTCTCCGGGTGAGGCTTCGGGCACAAGAACCTGCAGCCAAATCCCCCATTTCAATAGCATCAACCACGTCGCCGTCGGTCCAAAACAAAGGAGAGAAATAAAAGGAACAGGAAAAACACCTGGTTCGGATAATCAGCTCTTCCAAGGAGCCGAAATCGGTGGCTGTGGGGAATCCCGAGCGGCAGATTTCCTCCGCCACCATGCCAAACTTGAGAGGTGGAACCTCCGCCTCTCTATCCTCCATCTCCTCCCTTTCCGTGCCATCGAAAGATCACAGTATTACCATCGATCGAAGCGATCTCCCCTCCTTCCCATCTTTCTCGACACCCATTGCGAGGCGGTCGTGATCGAATCTTCGAAACCCTCGAAAGGAATTCTACATCTGCGTTCCATGGTAACGGGGCCCGTGGTACGATGTGCTGGAGGTGTCGTTTGGGCGTAGACGTGGAGGCTAAACACTGGTCGCTCCCAGTGGGCTCCAATAGGTTTTCGGACAATAGCGATATTTGGGCGCCGTTTCGCACTTGTGTGCAGCGTTATTTCGTACTCGATCGCGACACAATTCGTGGTTGTCAGCTAGAGAAATATAGATCCGTGAGTTGGCAGTTGGATACAAACACAACTTGGCCCACGACATAGATAAAAGTATTTAAGGACGTGGTATGATTTCCCCTTCGTTTCCTCCTTAAAACGCTTATGTCTTACTGTCCACCGCAATCTGGATCTGAGATAAGGATAGGATTGGGACTCCGTCCATGGAATGAGGAACACAAATTTCGACACCTCAGAGCCAAGTGATCGCCTTCCAGAAACCATTAAGGTATTCTCTATTTCCATCTCTGTTCCTGTGGTAGAAGAAGAGCTGGTGCAGGATGGCCACAGCCTCCATCTCTCCCATGGCCAGCCAGTTGAAGAGCTCCCTGCTCTCTTCCAGTAGCAGGTGTCTGTTGATCCCCAAAGGCATCTCACGAACACCATTGAGAGATTTGCAATCCAGAAGGAAGCCTTCCCTCACAGTTAGAGCCATCCAGGCAGAGAAGGTGAGGAACGTGATCTGTATATTTTGTCAGTGATTTGCATGCAACAGCAGATGATTCATGTCTTCGTGTTGCTTCCGAGTTCATGGCAGCCAACGTACCAAGTGATTCAGCCCATCAATGGTGACCCATTCATAGGGAGCCTGGAGACGCCGGTGACCTCCAGTCCGCTGGTGGCGTGGTACCTCTCCAACCTGCCGGCCTACCGCACCGCCGTGAGCCCGCTGCTGCGGGGCGTCGAGGTCGGCCTGGCGCACGGCTACCTGCTCGTCGGCCCGTTCGTCAAGGCCGGACCCCTGCGCAACACGGAGTACGCCGGCGCGGCGGGTTCGCTCGCCGCCGCCGGCCTCGTCGTGATTCTGAGCGTCTGCCTCACCATGTACGGCGTCGCGTCGTTCAAGGAGGGCGAGCCGTCGACCGCGCCCACGTTGACGCTGACCGGCAGGAAGAAGGAGGCGGACAAGCTGCAGACGGCGGAGGGATGGGCGCAGTTCACCGGAGGATTCTTCTTCGGGGGCATCTCCGGCGTCATCTGGGCGTACTTCCTCCTCTATGTCCTTGACCTCCCTTACTACATCAAGTAGACTGTTTGCTTCTTGTGGTGTGTTCCATATTGGGAAGATGACTGGCATGAGACCATGATATCAGTTAGCAGCCTATAAATCTGATGATATAGTAGAACAAGATGTTAAATGTTCTTCTCACTTTGCCTTCACAGTGAGTTCTAGCATCATTAGTTGATGAACCTTCTGTAACTCCGCAACCAGATTGCAGCCTGATTCAACTCTATGATAGCTACATGTAGATCTTAATCAGTTTAACCGCAGCATGGAACATATTGACAGGTCTTAAATCTAAGATACTTGCGACTGTGTTGTTCCTAAAATATATTGGTTCAATGATTTAGGTGAATCGATTATGCTACGAGTCCCAACAAGACAGTATAGGTTAGTAAGATTTTGAATTATGGAAGTAGGAAATGAAAGGACTGCAATATAAGCTGCAACATAAATTTTCCATCGAAACCAACATCAAATATCTGCATTTGAAAATATACATTACTATGACATGTAATAGCATCCGGCTCCCTTACATGTTTCCATGAAGAGAGCACACTTAATCTACAAAGATAATTTTAGGAACAGGGGAAAAATTTTCTCTTACAGTAGCCGCAAAGGCTGATTAATGAGGGAGGCATATCCAATAGTATGCTCCCTGATGTCCTGATCTAAAGTGGCACCACTTCATCAGCATCAACAGAAAGCACACAGAAAATTTCATAAAGTCCATCTATGTAATGATTCGGGTAACAATTCTTCGACATCCTTTGAGCTCAGGTTTGAGCTTTGAGGTTTCGTCAATTAGATAAATCTGCTGCAATTCATTGTCAGATAACTCAGGGCTTTGACAAAAGAGGGTGCCGTATAGAGGAAATGAACAAGCTACGATCCATATTGAACCTCCTCTTGCGAGGCTGAACTGTCTATTCTGTAGGACATCATGGCAGGTTCTGAATCATTGCCTCGTTGGCTTTGCAGCTGACCATGCAGAATTTCCAAGATGTTATGAGGAGGGCATTTATCAGCAGGGTTTGCAGGGGCCATCAGGCAGAAGCACTCAGGCCATGAGTTCGTATAGAAAGATTCTGGATGCACACGCTTGTGTGGCCTGCCAAATTTAGAGTTGAACATGACCTGCCTGATGCGCTCCTCGAAGCCATCTGCATGGCCTTTCTCTCTGTCCATAAATATGGGAGCTAGAGCTTTTCGATTGGGTTGGATTGTTGTTCGGAAGCCATAATATAGCCGGTGCCCCATAAGATTATTTGCAAAATTGCTAGGTCCATCATATGTTGGTATAAAAATATCTGATAGTAGGCTTACCATGTAATCCACAGCAGAACCAACCAGCCCTCGGGCATTTCCTTCGAGTTTTTCAGATGGTCCTACCGTGCTATGGTTCTCAAGGTGAGGAAACATCGCCCTGAATGGTTTAATGAAACGTTCACCACCGAACAGCTCACCAGCAGCCAGGTAGATCCGAGCAGAGTTGTTGAAACCCATAGCTTGTAAGACAAGGCCTACCTGCAAGCAAGAACTTCGGATACATGATATGTCACAGCTAAAGAGCAGCGTGCTTAAGGGAGCAACAGTATACATATTTTTAATCAATTTCATTTCAATTATACACCCCAAGAAAACATCAAGCATTTAGAAAGCATAGAAAACCACTTTGCTTATGCAGTCAAGTTTCACTTAATTTTATCTTTAGTAACTAAGACTCTTATCACCATGAACATCAAGCATGGAATATTGGATGTGAACCGCATCAAACACATAATGAACATATGCAATGGATAAAAGGATTGGAGCAAAGGAACTTGCCACTTTAAGTATGACATATTGGAATATAACATCAGGGAATGGGGTATACGATTATGGAAACTCAACACTTTCATAGCTGACAAAGAAATAATAAGTTAGAATGGCAATAAAAAATCTAACTAGAGAAATGAATATGGAAATCATAGACAGCTAAGAATCTGACTAGTTAAAGATAAATCGCTCACCAATCTACAGTATACAACCTAACTACAATCGACACAGAAACCAAAACTACTATGAATGCAGATGATCAGAAGGATAACAGCATAGTAATAGTAAAAGAAGGATCATGTAATGATGCAACGTGATGTGAGAGATTATGCTGAATTTGTTATTCAAAAATTGACCACAATCCGCAGATGGTACCTTATATCATGCACAGAGAGAGAGAGAGAGAGAGAGAGAGAGAGAGAGAGAGAGAGTTTACTTCTTCTGGAGTTAAAGGACATTTCCCAATTAGCCTCCTCTCTCTATAAACAAGTTCCTTCTCTGCAAAATTTTTTTTCCTGTATTTGATTAAGATTTTCTGTTCTTCGGGAGTAAATATATCAAGACACCTGAAAAGTCATGATATTCAGTGATGTATGAAAATTTCTACAAGTCAACACAATCACAATAAGAACTTTCCTAGAAAATCATGGGAAAGGATGCTTTCATTTTTTTAAGTAGTTAACATATCATCACGGGGACACGTCAATGAAATTTAAACACTTGCGAACATTAAATATGAAACACAGTTCATATTGCCCATAAGCTAGCAAAATCAGCATCTACGATCACTTTAGCAATGACAATATAATACTGTAAAATTCTAATAGCAGTTAGAACTTTGAAGGTCGATGTTGACGATCTCTAGGTGATTGCAAATGGCATTTGTTTCACACAGGCACCAAGACTCCTATGAATTAGGTGTAATGTAGAATTAAGTTTCCAGGGCATGAACTTGAATGCTTTATAATGGTATGCCTTACTAGGACCTATAGCACAGGCTTTCTACCATGATAGAGTTATAGTGGAACACATATCGGTAGGACGAGGAGCCTTGTATTGATAGTATCATAGAACATTGGCGATGCAATAGAATTAGAATAACTTATCAAAAGAAATGATTACTAGCCTAGTGACATTGTGGGCAACCATTGCCATTCATGGCATGGGAAAGTATCCCTCTCTTTATGACATGGTACATTATTATGCGACACCAGCTAGCACCGGACAAAAGATGACACTGAGGAGATGAGCCTAAGCTTAACTCTCGTGGTACCTAAACTTCCACCTAATTTTGCAGTCACAAAGGTTCTAGAATAAAATTTTGCAATCACAAGAATTTATTGATGAACATTCAAGAATAAAGAGATATGGACTAGAAGAAAATAATAAAGATCAGATTAAATACTTTAAAGTCTGGGCATATAGTCTAATTCTCCTCCATAGAATTCAAAATTGATGTTCTATCTTGAAGATATGCATGAACAAGAAGGCAAGTAGAGTAAATTATGATGCCCATTCACATGCATACATAGGATTAAAACTGCCTGATATTAGGTCTCATACCCAGCAAATGCAAGCATATCCATCTCAAATCGAAGGTGTATAGACATGAAATGGCCCTCCGAACGCAGCCTATTGACTATCTCGCTGCTTATTTTCATGATGTGTGGCTTGAATCGAAGTGCATGATAATTTACTCGGCATCTTAACCGCTGGAGCTCAGGATCATCAATCTCCTCTGCTAAACGATGTGAGAATGGAGTGAGGTAAACAGAACCATGTTCCCTCATCTTTTTCAAAGCAGTTGTTGTATACCAGCTCAGAGGAGCATCTCTTGGAGGGTGAATCTGAAAGTAAAACAAGGTATAAGTCGAGTTCATCAACCTAATGTCCTGAACACCATTGACATGAATATGAAATTAAATTTTATAGCATTTTAATTTTGTAATAAGAATCAGAAATTAACCTGAAAAGACCTTATCTTCTTCCTTTTCCCATTCACAGAGATAACAGGAAGGCTTTGCACAATATGAATGTCATACCTTAATGATCCAATGAAATGCTCAGCATCGTAGATACCTGCAAAACCACTGGATTAGAAAACAAGCCTCCAAATTAGTATCGCTTGAGGGAATGAATAATCTTATAAATATGAGAGCAATAACTACAATATAATAAAATGCAGGTAAAGAGGTTGCCTATCATGGGAAGAAGTTCTGGTCGGATCAAGTTTGAAATGGAACAGTACTATCATATGGAGCAAACTCTACTATAAACCCACCCGTTTTGTCGTTGGGTCAAGAATGTTTACCTAGACCTGACCCATATTACGTAGTGGGTCGAAAGAAGATCATGCATTATGGGTTAGGACACGTTGATGGGTCTAATTAAGTTTTTGTTCATGTTTTAGGAAATTCTCTAGGTTGGCCATTGAACCTTAGTATTAAGGAAATATATGATTGATCCAATACCACCCAACCCATTGATGGGTCAAGATCTTTTGACACAGACCTGACACATGAATTCAAAAGGTTATCATAAATAGGTTAGATCCAGTTTATCCAATAGGTTTAGGAAAGATTCCTACCAATAAGGAACTAAACTATTGGACAAGGAATTCCAAGCACCTTTAATTGTCAAGCAATCAAGGCAGAGTTATTCAGCACATGCCCATCTGAGCTCTGTGCAGCATCTGACCAATGTTCTGCTGATCTAGATATTGATCTAAAACAACAAATCTGAATGTTTGAGCAAGAAATCACTAATTCAGAAATGTACATGTAGTTAAGCTAGAGCAATAATACAGGTCAATAGTCAAAACAAAAAAAAAATTGTAGACTGGAAACTACTGTACTGAGATGTCTGAGAAAGGGTAACAAAAGAATCATCCAGTTAAAGGTTAGAAATCTAGAAAGTATTAGTTCTGAAAACAAAAGAATCATCCGGTTAGAGAAGACAGAGGATGATACACAGTTGCTAGCATCCAAAAATATTTAGGATTTAGTGTTAGTTCTGAAAACTAGTATATAAACGTATGTAACAGCAATTCCAGTATTAAAGTTAGTTCGATTCCAGAGTAATCACTAATACGGATCATGGATGTGAATCACATATGTACCAGAGTACTATCCACTATACTTCACCATTCATTAAAGTATTAAGTATTAACCTTAATCTTTGTACACTAACCAGTTCAGAAGTCAGTTCAATTTAGTTCCTAACATAGAAAAGCAAATTATATTAATAAATTGAGAACTTTTCCATCTCTTGATATCAATGATATCAAACCACTTGCAGCTGCAGGATAATGGAATATGGAAATAACTGTATCAGGATATTGTGACCGCCTCTGCTTCCACTTATATATGATCTTTTCACCATTGTTCTTTAATTTGGAAAGTAAATTAATTAAATTTCTAGTTTATGAACTTGGGTTGCAAGAAGAATCTAGTTTTACTTTGTTCTTACAGGGTCCAGACTCATATCAAGTTAACCAACATAAAATAATGGTCAAAGAGATGACTAACCATATATGGAATTTTTGCTTCATACAGACTGTTGATTACATATTGACAGTGTTGAATAGATTAATATATGAAGCAATTTTCAATGCTATGTAATGTCCAGAATGACGCATACATTGACCATTTGCTAGAATTAATATATGCTTACTTTGAACTAATTTGAAGCACCGTCCGGATAGACCTTCAGCATTTTTTACAATTCTAACTGGAGTACTCTTAAACAAATTTGAAACAACATTAGTACTTTTATATATTTTTGAATATAGTAGTTAAAGATGAACACCAAAAGCAAGTACATAAAAATTAACATATTTTAGTAAAGTCTGAAGATACGTATATACCTCTCATCATGCCAAAAAGAATTTGTATCCAACTCAGGCAACACGAGGGTAGCATTCATAATCCTTGCAGCAACAACAGCATTACATATCTGAAACAACCAGGTAAATAAATAATAAATTTTCATATCAGAAAAAGTATGAAGTACTATTGTAATAACACAGTTACAAGAAAATGAACTTTGATGGTGATTCATGAAATAAGAAGACAGAAGTTCCTGATTCAGCACTGGGTTCACCCAAAAGTTTTCCAAATCAAGTGTTTAGATAACTGAAGTGCCACATATATTGAAGTTACTTGCTGTTTGCACTATGATGAAATAATTTTTTCGAGTTAATATTTCCACCATATGTTGGTGACATAGAAGCTTAATCAATGCCAAAAGGTGGAAGAAGAAAAAGGTGCAGTACTGCAGTGCGGGTAAGATACCCATCCTAATCTGGACAGGGATTGGCCGGTTCTGTTGGGCACCTAAAGCTGTTGTGAGTAAAAAAAAGAGGCTAAGTCGCTTTATTCCTGAAAGAAGAGTTGGCTAGCCCCCAGGAGCCATATTGAACCCTGTTTGGGATCCAATGAGTTTCGCCAGTCTCAAAAATGCAGGGATTAGAAATAGCTGCTATCTAGTCAGTAGTCAGATTTAGTAGAATTTTTTAAAAGCATATTCAGCATATATTTCACTAACGGATAATGTTTTCATGAATTAATTAAAGTTGTAAAATATTATAAACATAAGACATGGTGAACCACAAAGGTCATGTTGGGACTTACTGCTTTCTCTCTTTTTACACTCAAAGTAGATTGATAGCAGTAATCTTAGTTGATAGTTCTGTAGGGAGCAAGACTTCTACCTTGATTTGTTAGAGGCATAGTTGAACATCTTACAAGCAAACAATTAGTTACTACTCATGAAAACTATTTATTGCACTTGTTTGATGTTGATGCTACCTGACTGTATAGCAAGTAGGGCATTTTGTTACACAGTTTGAAATGAATGGGAATAGAGCAATCCTATTTATTTATTTATTTATTTTTGAATTATATTTTCTTTAATTAACAAAAAACATATCAACTGCAAGCCTTTGGAAGTGTAACAATAGTCAAATCATAATAAATTTCTCTCAGAGCCTTATCAAAAAGTTACAAATGCAGAAAAGCAATGAATTTGAATGCAACACCGCACCAATTTCCAAGATAGAATGATGTAGCCAAAAGTGCTTTTCATCAATAACAGAAGTTAGAAAACTACAATGAATTCAATTTAGAAGGAATAGAATGAAATGTAGGCTTATTTCAACAATTTTTCATTGTAACCTCTTATTTCAGCAATAAGAGATGTATGTACGTCATATGTCAAACAGAAAAGTTTTCTTACCGCACTTCGTTGCTGATTCAAACCACCATTGCAACGAACTCGTAAATAGCCATTACTCTCATTTGGGGGAGCTATAACCATGAATTATTGTAATCAAGGAATTAGATTCATCATACTAGTTCCCAAGTAATTCAGCATGAACTTGAGTACAAACAAAATTATGCTAAAAAAGAAATTGAGGAAGAGCATAAGGATTACATACGAGGCCAGTATGATCTTGGAGCAGATGATGATCTCCAGCCATCAGAATCAGCAGGTTTCCAGAGCTTATTTGTATCATAATTCTGCAACAACATGAACCAGAAGTTTAGAAAAGAAAATGACAGGAACGGAAACTTCAAGAAAATTAACAAGTCCATAGACATTACTGGGACTCCAGGTTAATTCGTATGAATTATGTTGATGCTCATTATTCATAAGCAAAACCTCAGTATGGAACTATAGAAAAAGCTCAATAGAGCACTGTAGTAAGATGAAATTTAACTCAACAATTTATGGGAATGAAATTCTGTGCCTCGCAGAATTACAGGACCTGATAAGAGAACAATTCATCTTAGGGTCAAGTTTTGGATCTAAAAGTGGATTTGTCATTGATCTAGTATACTCGAGTCATTCAATTTTGTTGTAAAACTGTATTGAAATTCATATGGAGTCAGTTTCTAACCAAATTAAATGAGCCATCTTATAAAACAGTTGGCTTCCACCGTTCTCGTCATTGTAATGCTTCAGTATCTGAATTAACATGGTTCCTGAATTGTGTTTAACAAATTTGAGTTAAACTCAAGTGCTAAGTAACCATACTAAAAGCGTGTGATCCAATTTGTCTGGTCAGTAGTGTCTGTTCCAGGAGTTCTAATATAGTCAGAGAATTGGTCCAACTGAAGAGATCTTTGGAGATTGTTGAAAAGGCCTTGGACTTCCAAAAAGGTTTAGATCTTTCTTTCTAAGACAAACATCCTAACTGAAGAGGATAAATATTAAATCTGGTAAAAGAAGTTTACTACTCAAAAGAGGTTTTTCTTGCTTCCCTTATGGACATTACACCAGAATGAATGCACATCTAACCATGTCTACTACTACTTAATACTACGGCTACTTCACACTCAGACTAAACACTACTCTCTCATCACAAACTCGGATGGAAAACATTACACTTCAAGAGAAACCATGTAATGTTGCCACTTCCAAGTTCGAGAAGTAAAACTGCCAAGAAGAACGCAACCAGATCACGATCAAGACATTTTAACCTGCACGCTACTCGAAGGGCGTGTGAAGCGGATAGACAATGGGGATAGAAAGCAGATGATGAGCACGATCACGGCGATGGAGATCGATAGCCTCCGAGGCATCCCCTTCAGCCCTTGCTTCAGTTGCCTTGGTCCGCCATTTCTCCGGCTCCATACACCGCCTCCTCTGGATCAAAAGCAAGAATTAAACCCAAGGAGATTGAAAGAAAGTAATTAGGGAAGGGGCGACGTTCGAACCTCCTCATGTGAATCACGAATCGATTATTGGAAGGATTCGGATGACGAGGGTCGGTAATCTGGAAGGCTCCGGAGGTCGCTCAGATCTGGAGGCGAAGCTGAAGGTTTCGGGGTTCAGAGAGGGAGGGAGGGAGTACAATGGAGCAGAACGGAAGCTTGACGAGATTGAGACTGAAGTCTCAACGCCTCCACCGAAGGGCGAAAATTACTTGTATGAAAAATAACTATTTTTAAAAAGGCGATAAATGACTAAAAAGATGTTTTACTTATCTAAATTGATGGAGATGCGGGGTATCGATCCCCGTACCTCTCGCATGCTAAGCGAGCGCTCTACCATCTGAGCTACATCCCCGATTGAGTAGTAAAGTCTCCTATTGAATTCTTATTATTTGAATATATAATAATTTAACAGAAAATACATGTAAAAAAAACAAATGGAGATGCGGGGTATCGATCCCCGTACCTCTCGCATGCTAAGCGAGCGCTCTACCATCTGAGCTACATCCCCAATTGAGTAGTAAAGTCTCCTATTGAATTCTTATTATTTGAATAAATAATAATTTAACAAAAAATACATGAAAAGAAAACAAATGGAGATGCGGGGTATCGATCCCCGTACCTCTCGCATGCTAAGCGAGCGCTCTACCATCTGAGCTACATCCCCGAATGAAAAGTTTAAGTGGTCAAGTTTATTTGTAGTTTATATCAAGATTCGAAACAAAACAGTTCCTAATTCATAATATTAATTAGGAATTGAACAAAGGATCAGTAACTAAGCCCTAAAAGGGGCTTAGTTGTCTACCTTATCATCGATTGTGATGCAGCAATCATATAAACTCTCAAAAGTGGATTATTTATCTGGATACTGCCTCGTGGATCCACATGTTTGGTATGCTTAAGTAGCTAGATATTGATGAGCAGTCTCAGTTCATTCATTTCTTGATAACCTCTGTTTTGCTGCCATATTGAAGTTATATACATAATGATGATATGCTCTTATAGATGTCACATGTTCAAAACAGGGCTTTAATTTTGATATTTACAAATTGTTAGGACTGTTTGATAAGTCCCTGCTTCATCATATCCATGTCTCTCCTAACTTAACTTATAGGATAATGGTTATCCTACTTTACATCAATCATCATCATACAATTTTCTGTTTGTAGCATCAGTATGCTGACTCTGAACTATTCAACAAATTAAGTGATCAGAATTTGAAGACTGGTTCATTCTTTATTGAACCTTTGGTAAATGATTTCTTTTAGCATACAGTCATGATTTATGTCTTGTCAGCATTTCTGTTATGTGATCCATCCACTCATAGTCGGATTCTTTTCCATGTGTGGCTTCTCTCTGTTGACTCTAAATAAATGTACAACAAAGAAAGAATTATAAGTATAATTCTTTCTTGAATAATAGTAATAAGGTATTATTAGTCTAAAATCAAATAGTAGAAAAGAAAACTAAGATGAAAAAAAAATTATTGAACTTCTAAAAAAAATATTTACAAATCTTGAATTAATGTACATGTTGATATCACAAATTTATAAATATAAGAAGTGGGGTGTATACCTCAACTGGTGACGCCGATGGAAGAAGGGAGAACCATTGGGAAGTATTAGTTGGCCCAGGGGATAAAAGCATGGTGCTTCCTCCGATGCTTGGTCCTGTTAAAAGCTGGGTTTGGAGTTGTTGCTATTGATGCCAACCTTTTTTCATCATTGCTGGATACTCAGTTGTCATCGGAAAGGAGTGTGTTTCAGATGATGTTTATCAGTATGATTCTCGGGTTAATAGGTATGTGATATGATTCTTAAACATATTATGTGCATGTTTTTCTTATTCTAAATAAACAGTGACTATTTTTTAACTGAATTCATTTATCTTTCCTCCGTGTATTATGATTGTTGATATCAGCACAAGTAAATAATAATTGAGAGTGATAAATATATTTAATCTCAATCAGGAACCAAGAGCTTATAAGTTCATCAGATCGTCCTTAACTTTAGAGATGTTTTTTTAAGTTTTTGAGTTTCGAAAGGATAAAATCATACAGATACACCCATCACCTAAAACAGATAATTCTTCACGAGTCTATGGGCCGCACCAACGATGAACCGAGTAAATATTGATTTGTAAAAAAAAACTTCATAAACCATTGTCTCAATTTTTTTTTATTTTTCTTGGACATGCAAAAGTAGTCAACGAGAAATTTGTTTACATTTCTCCAGTTTACAGTGATAAAGAGTGAAGTCTTCTGTTACAGATGGAGAACGTTGCTCGCCGTGACTTTGCCTGTTCTGAGCTTGATGGTGGTGTTGATTCTAATGGTGACGGCTAATCGAGTGTTGAAGTTTGTGACCCAGACAAACAAGTGGACCTTAATCGAAAGCCTTCGCTGCCCAAGGTGAGGTTGCTTTGCTTCCGGCTTTGAAGGTAAGCTCTATGTCACGGGCGGGCGGGCGTTCTAGCTTCACAATTGGCAGTTCCAGGTTTCTTGATGTGTACAATACGGAACACAGCTCATGGTGCGAAATGAAAAATGGCTGTGTTATGGTCACTGCACAAGCTGTGCTGAACAAGAAGCTTTTCTGTATGGAGTGGAAGAATCACATATTATGTGAATATGGTGTATAAATACATATATAGGTGGAGAACATACCAACCATATTCACATATTGTGTTCTAAAGAGCTGCCAGAATTAGCTAAGTGGAAGAAAAAGTTGCAATTCTGCAATCGGTGGACCTGATTCATGTTGTAACTTTCCAGCAAAACACAATAGATACAGACTCTTCTAACCTTATTCTGGTTTGTAGTAAACAAAATCAAACAGCGCGAGTGCACGAATCACACCAGACATTCTGGAAACAAAGGTTTCAAGTAAAATTGGCTCTGCAGCATCACAAAGGCCACCTTATCCAAATGACTCACCGGGCAACCTACCACTGCTTATGCTGCTCTGCCAATCAGTTGATACCGTATTGCCATGGACTTAATCATTATGGCTAACACTGAATGGTAAATTACAGTTCTGGAGGACAATTAGGACCCATAAAGCAAAAGAAACTCGAGCTGCAAACTGGTGTTCTGCGGTCACTTCATAATACAAAATAGAAGCATAAACAAATATTGGTAAGAAAGAAGAAGCAAATGTTACCAAGGTTTAACAAGTCATGCATTCCAGAGTTCATAATGGCCGGGACACAGGAGAATTCAAGTCTTGAATGCAATTCCACGTAGCATACAAACAGTAACAATCATTCTCAAAACCCCAAGCAGCAGCAACATGCCCGATAATGTGACCCTTCATGCTTTGATCGTCACGCTGCACAAACACAACCCAGAAGGCTTAAGCGAAGTTGTTTTCCATTCAGATCCTACCGGAGCATCAGGATCATACAGCAGTGTCCGGTACCCAGGCACCTCCTTGAGTGAGAAAAGCAACAGCTTGCCTTCAAATATTCCCAAGCGGAATGCTATGGTCGAGCTCCCCGTAACAGGCACAGGGACCTTTTGCCATGAGTTGTCAGCTGGATTAAATATTGCCAACTTCCGCTGATTCTTCCACTCGATACAGAAAAGTTTTTTGTTCAGCATAGCATGTGCAGTGACCATAACACAGCCATTTTTCATTTCGCACCATGAGTGGTGCTCCGTATTGTACACATCCACAAACCTGGAATTGCCAATTGTGAAGCTAGAACGCCCACCCATGACATAGAGCTTACCTTCAAAGCCGCAAGCAAAGCAACCCCACCTTGGGCAGCGAAGGCTTTCGATTAAGGTCCACTTGTTTCTGTCTGGGTCATAAACTTCAACACTCGATAAGCTGTCACCATTAGAATCAAACCCCCCCACAGCGTATACAACACCATCAAGCTCAGAACAGGCAAAGTCACGGCGAGCAACGTTCATCTTGGCTAATGTGCTCCATCTGTAATAAAAGACTTAACCCTTATTACTGTAAACTGGAAATTTGCAAACAAATTCCTCATAGAAAAGATAAACCAATTATAGTTACAACAATCATTGGCTACTTTTGCAAGTCCAAGGAAAACAAAAATATTGATACGATGATCTACGAAGCTTACAATTACTATTTATTTGTGCTGATCTGAACAATCATAATACTGGGGAAAGATACACGGCTACATCTCATTAGTCAGTCCACCTAGCGGCCTAAAGCTGATTTTTACAAACTACTAGATCTGTAGCTTGGTTGGATTAATAACCTAGACCAAAGATAGGAAAAATGATTTTAAAAAGTCACTGTTTATTCAGAAACTTTGTTCAATAACGTCACTATGCAAGAATAAGAAAAACATGCACATAATATGTTGAAGAATCATATCACATACCTATTAACCCGAGAATCATACTGATAAGCATCATCTGAAACACACTCTTTTCCGATGTCAACCGAGTAGCCAGCAATGATAAAAAGGTTGGCATCAATAACAACAACTCCAAACCCAGCTTTAACAGGACCAGGCATTGGAGGAAGCACCATGCTTTTATCCCCTGGGCCAACTAAGACTTCCCAATGGTTCTCCCTTCCTTGGGCATCACCAGTTAAGATATACACCCACTCCTCAAGCTTTCCAGCCTCCTTTCTTATACCCAGGAACTCCTTACTTTTAATGAATGACCTCCATCTCTTGCAAACAGCACCCATAACAGGGAGGTCACTCCGAGGCACAAGGACAAGACAGAACTTAGCCACATCATCAGGTAACCCAGGAATAACAGGGTGGCATAAATACTGGGGTGGTTGCAGGGTGAACCCAACTGAAACTTTCTGAGTTGCCAGGTTAGTTTGAACTGGAACATTCCGATGCACTTCCGAATCAACAAACCTTTTCCTGGCACCAACAAGACCAGGCATCGCTAAACTGGGCATTTTGAAAATGACTTAGATTTCTGAACTTCCTTGCTGGCCCAACCAAATCCTTGAGCAACTTGAACAATAATCAATATCGTTATAAGAAACAGCAATCTAGAGAGAAAGATTCGTGGTATCCATCATCTATAGGGATCTTAAGAGACAAAGGAACGAATGATGGCAATGATCCAAACAACACAGGTGCAGATCCCGAGGATGTTTTCTGTTTTACTGATGTTGTTCTGAATGCCATTCCACAGTTGCTGTTCTTTGGATAGTTCTTTCGAATCAACGTGCAGGCACTCTGCTCGAATTTGATGGCATATTTCTCGTTCTCTCCCCCAAACATCGCCCCGAAAACTATGAAATTGATTGAAAAGTGTAAAGATGTTACACACAGACACACAAGATATATATATATATATACAGGGATATGAAGAGAGAGTAGGAACAATTACCCAAGGCCATAAAACTTGAACGGCAGTTAACCAGCAGTTGAATCCATTTAGAGTCAACTGAAGCCACACATGGAAGAGAATAATTGTCAATTTTTTTTCTTTAACCTTCCAACTTTTCCAAAACATATTTCACAGAAACTACTTGCAAAATGTGAACGACAACTACGAGTGGATGGATCACATACAAGAAATGCTGGCAAGCCATAAATCATGACTGTATGCTAACAGAAATTATGTACCAAAGGTTCTTCAACAGGTCCAGAAGATCAGATATTATAACCTTTTTAGCATGTCATTACCCAAATGTACCATGAAAAGAAACTAAAATTTCTTCTCACCCGAAACACAAGAAAGAAAAAAATAATAATAATGAACCAGTCTTCAAATTCTGATCACTTAATTTGTTTAATAGTTCACAGTCAGCATACTGATGCTACAAACAGAAAGTTGTATGATAACGATTGATGTCAAGGATAACCATTATCCTATAAGTTCAGTTAGGAGAGACATGTATATGATGAAGCAGGGACTTATCAAACAGTCCTAACAATTTGTAAATATCAAAATTAAAGCCCTGTTTTCAAACTGTGACACCTATAAGAGCATATCATCATTATGTATAACTTCAATATGGCAGCAAAACTTTGGAAGAGAAGTTTTCGAGAAATGAATGAACTGAGACAACTCATCAATATCTAGCTACTTAGGCATATGAAACATGTGGATCCACAAGACAGTATCTAGATAAATAACCCACTTTTGAGAGTTTATATGATTACTGCATCACAATCAACGATAAGGTACACAACTAAGCCCCTTTTAGGGTTGACCGTACACACTAAATTCCATAAGAATACATAAGCAAATTACTGATCCTTTGTCCAATACCTAATTAATATTATGAGCGGTCAGTTTAAGTGAGAAAATGAATGTCGTAGAACGATATATCAGTTGATTTACTTCTGCAAGGAAATCCTAGCTGCTTCTAAGAATAAGACTCATCAGAAGAAACAATAATTTATGACTCAAACATCGTGTTTATATTCACACAAGAAAAAAAAAGAATTCTTGAGTACATTGTAAACCATCCATTATTCTATGAGAAACATATCAATTTTAAACGATGAAATAGAACAAAGTACCCAAATTTTCATAATAGTTTCCAGAAGCATGAACCGGTAATGCCTACACCATTAGCCTGAGAAGCTTAAGGGTGCATTATTCTGTACTACATAAAACTTAAGAACCTGAAGGCGCAAGTTTTTGGTTTATGGAAAAAAAAGTCAAGTAATAAGCTTCATGTAGAAACTTAAAAGACTTTCTGCAGCAGCAGTTACCGGAAAAAAGATTTTAACCAAAACCTACTTCCTATCATACGCTCAGCACCTCACAATTAGACAGCTACTCCTCCTCGTCCATGTCACAATTCTTTGATGCAAATGAACCAAAATATACCAAATCTAAAAGAATATGACAAAACCAAAATAATCATCAACACATGCATCCAAATCTATAACAACTGGGGAAAAAGATGGAAGAATATGAACACAGCTTCAAAGATCCGAAATATTCACTCAGCAAAACAGATTTGCAATCGAATAAAACAAAATAAAAGGCACACGGAACGGAGGGGGGAGATCACGGAGAAAAAAAGGAAATCTTTCTTGGTGAGAACCCTAGAAAACCAAACCTGCTTGACAAATTTCCGAATAGCAAGATGAAGAAACAAGAAAAGATGGCCAAGAAAAGGGGAAAAAAAGTAAGGGAAACATGAAAAAGCGAAGACTTTTGGAGAAAATTTACGAATTCAAAGAAACAAACAAAATTTGACATCTCCGATCTGTGACAGAGTGATGCAAACCAAAGAAAAAGGGAGGGAGGGAGGGCGATAAATTATACCCAAATCTGGATTTTAACCCGCTTATATTATGGGCAGAGAACGCAGAAAGAGCGAGACGGATGGAGGTAGCTGAGGAGACAGAGAGGAGGAAAGATAGGGGGAGACGGGGAGAGACGTGAGTATTTAAAGGGAGAGGGAGAAGGGGAATTGTGAAGGCAGGATAAATGAACCCAAAAATAAATAAATAAATATTTATTACTATTATTATTATTATCATCTTTGAAGTCTTAAAAAAATCCCTCTTAGGAGATTTTTTTTTTCGAAAAATACCCCTCATTTCTAAAATTTTCAAATAATATCTTATTTTTATATAATATTTAACATTTTTTTTGTTATGTATAGATCCATAAGATGACTCGATCTAAAATTATGTTCAATAATACCCAAAAATACCATAATTTAATATTTGTATACAATTTTTATTTTTAAAAATATATATAATATTTTTAAAAATATCAATATTTTTGTACTATATTATAATTTTTTATATTAATGAAAAAATTATAATTGGACTTATTGCAGAGAGGCATTTCAAGTACTAGAAAAAAAAAGGGGGTATTATTTGGGAATTTTTGAAATATGGGGCACCTATGGAAGTACAAGTTTTTTCTGAAAATTTACTCTTATTTTTTTTTCAAAAAAGAGTGTGATTATTTATTATTATACAAAGCCTGTTATGACAATACTTGATCTGTTTTAATGCATTGTAATGATTATTATTATATTAATTAAAGTTTCACCAGCACTAAGATTTTAGTTTGATAAGATTATGGATGTCAACCTCCTAATAAGTAACTATATGAACTCAAAACCTAATTGACTTAAATATATTGATTAGACTGGTAAAACAAAATTTTGACCAGTCTACTCAATATATTTTCTTGTTCATCCACATATATTTTATTTATATATTTTCTTGTTCATCCACATATATTTTATTTATATATTTTCTTGTTCATCCACATATCTTCTCTTTTATAGATCTCTAAGGGATCTTATGAGGTCATAAGGAGATAAGCTCTTTATATATTAATACTACGGGAATGTCATATAGTATATCTAACATATTGATCTATTGATGATATACTAGTCGGTGAATGTTCAAATCCTCATCCGATATATTTGAATGTATTAATTAGATTTGCTTAGACGATAACAACTTTGATGATTTAAGATAAAATCCTAAATCTCATCTTTGTCATTTATATATTTAAAAAAATAATAAAATGATTTAAGTTTATTTTATGTTAATAAAAAATCAATAATGATGAATCCAATTTGGATTTCTAGTTTTAATTCGAACTCATTCGCAATCCAATTAAAGATTTCAATAATAATAATAATGGATAATGGATATGAAACAAATCCAATTAAATACTATGAAACTTATTGACATCCCTTTTACTCTAAAAAAATAAGGAAGAAGAAGAAGAAACTGAGGGATGTGTGAAGTTTCCATGTTCTCTCGGAGTCATTGTGATCGAAAGTGATCGCCATAAAGTCGTAGAAAATACAATCAATAAAATACTAGTTAGTTGTTAAGGTCAATTGTGATCATATGACATTGTAATCGATAAAAATTATGCTAAGAGTCGACATTTTCTACCTTTTCAATCTCAACACTCTTTTTTTTTTTTAATGATGTAGTTTTTCTTTTTAATTTATTTAGAAGACGAAAAACTTTCCATTCTTATGTGATGGTAAAAAGAAAATAAATAAATAAATATATATATTGATCTACTAATAAATAAAAGAAATTGAAGATTCAATATCCAATCAAAATATTATTGGTTCGAAAGTGATGGGAAAGTTGTGTGACGAGACTCTGGTCACGACCAAATCGCATGCGAGATTTAGATTTTTTTTTTGTTTGTGACAGATTCAACGATAGGATGGCCTGATTGGATTTGGTTGTGTGATGAACATTTGTGACATTCCAAGTAATTATCCGAATGCTATCTGACGATGTTGAACATATGGAATGTTTTTTACATGGGTATGATTCGCATGTCATGCAATATACTACTGTATAACATGTGAGGATGAAGCTTCCTAGTGTGGCAGGAGAGGAAGATTTCACTGTCACTCACAGACCCATTCAATGTTAACGTTGTCTTCTTGTCTGGACATGTCTATTGGCCAAAACAAAGAAATATAATTTTTTCTTCTTATTGTAAGAGCTCATGGATCATGTGAACTGAGGGACTATGACAATTAGGAAAGGTAAGGGGGGTGAATATGAGATTGGATAAGATTTTTATCAACTAAGTTGGATGATATATACTAAAAGATTTTTAGAATAAAAATGTAAACCCCCTCAATAAAAAGCTAAATGATTAGGCATGATGTGATCACCATTTGAAACTTGTGATATGTAAATGAAGGAGATGAGCATACTTCTTATGCCTAATAATAGGAAGGGGACAAGGTTGAGATGAGAAGTAAACTCTTACTATAGTGGCAAGAAGATGAAGGAGTGTTCCTCTCCCTCTCTTATATAGTAAGGAATAAGATATGTATGGTTGGTAGGGTAGCACATCACTTAAAATGAAGATGTTGATTTCAGGTTCTTGGAATCTGAGATATTTATTTATTCAGCCAACAATCTAACACACACAATTAGACAGACATACAGAGAGAGAGAGAATTGAGAACGGATGGGGTAGGATAAGGATCACCGTGGAAGCTGACTTAGAGAGAGGGAGAGAGGAGAATTTTGGCATGGATGGGGTGGGATAAGGATCACTGAGGGAGCTGACTCGACAACACATTGGCCTTAATAACTAGGAAGAGAGACCGCTGCAATGCAATGAAAACTTTTATAATAAAATAAATAAAATATTTCCTTTTAGTAAATTTTAGACATTTAATTGGTGTACAAATCTTAAAGGAGGAGGATGAGAGGGGCAGCCGAGAAAGTCCAAACAAACAGGAACAAATGAGTAGAAAAGAGGATAAGAATGAAAGGGAAAGTGGAGGTAGAAAATGAAGAGAGAGAGAGAGAGAGAGAGAGACTGAAGTTATAAATTAGTGTATGCAAACTTGCCTTGCTTGAAGGCCAACAATTTTACTCTATGAAAATATACAAGTTCTTTTTTTTATGTCTAATGGGTTTAGGATATATATATATATATATATATATATATATATATATATAAAACAGAGTTTTCACTTTGCATGGCTAAATCATTTTTTATAATGGAATTTAATTATTACAACAAAAATCATGAAAAAAAGTATATTTATTTCCTTATTATTTTTATTGAATTTTTGAGTATTTTTCATAGCAAAGAACTTCCACTTATAATAAATATATTATTTTGAAATTATATCATCATCATTATTATTATTATTATTTACTGAATTATGAACCTTTTTTTTTCCCTGACAAAGAACACTTCCACTTGTACTTCATAGAATGTGTCAAACCTTGGCTGTCTATTCTTATGCACTTATTTTGCAATTTCAAGGACATTGAGTGGAAGGAGCACAGAGAGAGATGCATCATAATCACCATTCATTTTCATCAATAATGTCATCATCATCAATTTGCAATTTTGCTTGTTGTTTGGTGGGTACTACACCTACCACCAAGTCAAGGCAAGGGAGGAGGGTTGGCATGAGAGAGACATCACTTGGAGCTATAGATTTTGGTGTTCCAAATTTTCACCATAAAATTGCATGCTTTCACTAGAAAAATAAATTAATATCATGGTCAATATCAAGCCATGCAAGCCCATGAACTTTAATCGGACTAGATCTTTAATAATCGGACTAGCCGATAAACAACAACAACAAATAATAACAACGACAACAATAATATTAGAAAAAGAAAAATGCTTTCAACAATAGTAAAATATTTTCAAAGTGATGGAAAAGGCTTTCAGAAAAATGCAGACATATCTTTAGAGAAGTATAAAACAAAATATATATAGTTGATAATGCTTTGCATTTCTTTATTTTTTAATTCAAAATAGATGAACACAGTCTAAGGGTCTCAAATAATGAAAAGAATTAACAAAAACAACAGCTTAAAATGAGAAACACTCTTCTCTGGGTAAGCCAGATAAACAAGTTGCAGCAATTACTTTCTACATAAATAAATGTGGTGTATAACCTTAGGCAACCACCATATGTCTAATTTATTAAGATGGATTATGCCAATAAACTGAAGGACAAGTATATGCTTGGCAAAGGCACTTCTACATTGCTCCATGTCAACATGCTTAGGATAGAGTCCAAAAGACTACCATCCTTAGAACAAGGGGCTTCCATATCTTTACAACTGTAGGAACACCCAAACTGAGTACAAAATGAAGAATCCATGTCAGAAAACCATGAAGCTACACTAAATTTAGACCATCTGCATTGTGATTTGTTGCAACACAACTATTTATCATCAAGTTTCATAACGATTACATATCACAAAACATTTTCCCCATCAAGAAAATAGTACCATTGCATCAGTATTTCCAAAGTATAGTGAAAAGCTCATGCTAAATCAATGAATTGGATCAGACAATAAATGTTGATTGAGAAAAAGCAATGAACAGAAAGTTTCATCAGCAACCGAGCTGCTGCATCATATGATCAAACTCCAGAATCCAATTTGGCTATGAACTCCAGTAAACATACCGTGTAAGAAGAACCAAAATTGATGTAAAGTTGACATAATTGCACAATTCACAATCAAGTAGAAACCTGTGTATGCTGTAATTAACATCAATAATTCAGGAAAAAGAACAAGAAAAATAAGATAAAACGCACATCGACCAGAT